CACATATACGCGTAGAGCTGAACAAGAAAAACTAATCAAAATTCCAGCCTGCTGCGGTTTGTGGTGGCCTACAGCTGTGGAGAGGATAATTTCCATCCATGTTCATATATATTTGAAAGAAGTTCTGTGTGTGTCTGTGGATTGAAGAGTGCTTCTCTCCGTGATATGATAAATGGAAAGGTGCTCGAGATGCAGCAGTTTTCCTGCTTGAAGGTCTCTTGAAAGAGTGCAAGCCATATGGCCCCACAACAAGGGCGACCGCATTTTTGCATTATCAACGCAGCAGCGTATTGTGTGATAAAAAAAACGCTCTTCTGCTTACTGTTTCTGTTTTGTCTGCTGGCAATTTTTTTTCCTTTTGCTGTTTTAATTCCAACGTCATTTCAACTCAAAGGCTTCCAAGAAGTTTGCAGTAACTCGTCAATATTTAAGATGTTAATTTATACAATTTAAAAATCAAAATGTTTCTTTTGCATTAATGATAAATCAAAATTTTAAAAAATCTTATTTACTTTAATTTAATCTGCAGTTTTTTTAAACTATAATTTAAATTTTTATTGAATATTTAAAATTGTATGGAATTAAGCCAAGAGGTTTAATTTTTTTTTAACATTCTGTAACTAATTCTGCTTTCATGTATGTATAAATTCCATTAAGAGGTTTTCAGTGTTTTTCTTCTTTTGGATGAGAAGAAAAATGCATCCCATCTCATTTCAACGCAGGTGTTCCCAAAACCAAAAACCATATCCGAATAAGCGTACATGTCTCTTTTGAAAAATTGAGCTCTCTCTGCTCTTTCTCCACCTTTATACACTATGGCTACATTCCAGCCAACGCAGCAGCCGGATAATCCTTCCCGCTGTCAAAAAGCCGCATACATTTCTCGACCTGCGGTTTTTCTCTCGCTTTTCTAGCAACTCTTGTGGCCTGGCCCGTGTGTGATTGTTGGCGTGTCCGCCAACAATCGAAACAGCAGCGGGGAACAAAATGAAATAAGTCGTTTCTCAACCGAGATGGACACGTTTTTTTCTCAAACTTTTTGCCCAAGAAAATGGAAATACAATGCACCTGCCGACAGACAACCAGTCGGTTTTGGCGTCTCTAACAAGGTGCACTTTTGAGTTTCGGGACGGATGAGCGGCGCTAAAAAGCACTGCACAGTCATCGCCTCCTCCATCTAGTAGCACTAGTTATTTATTAGCTACCATGCTTTAGCCGCGAATTAACACAATACTGTTGGACGAGGAGGAAATTTGAGCGCGCATATAACTGTGAGGGAGTTGCGGTTGTCTTGCCAAGCGTGAATCGGCTTCATGGGCATTCCTCTTTTCTGCGACCGCTTTTTTTGTTTCTCTCTTCTGTTGTGCACTTTTTCAGTCTGCACACGGTTTTGTCTTTTTGGCGGCAAATGCTGAGCTTTTGTCGCGGAAAAAACGTTACTGGAGCGATGTGAAAATTTGCAATTCAAAAGCTGCCAACTCTTTCTTGGTATATATAAAAAAAAAATACTGCTGTCTCACCGCTCGGCTCAGAGAGATTTTAATTAAAGAGTCTCTCGCCGCGCCGAGATAAAATGAGTGGTCGGTCAAATACAATCAAATGATTAATTCCAATCTGGTCTCTATAGAGGTGAATATTGGCGCGATGATGACGGACAAACAATCAATTTGAATCCAAAGAAAGAAAGAAAGAAAAGCCTCGGTGTGTGTTATTATCCGAAAATTATTATTAATAAGCGCTGGCCGGAACGAGCGTTATAAGGCTCTTTATTCTCGAGGTATTCAAAACAGCGGGAGAGACTCGGAGAGCATTTTAGTATTCCTCCTCCTCCTCACCTCGCTTGACCCCGGCCAGACCTTTTGCCTCTCCGGCCAAGAAAGGTACTCCTCTCATCAGCAGCATACGGTACTATCTATCCATCCATCCGAATATATGGTGAACCCTGACGCACAATTTTTTTTTATATTTTGTGTGCCACAAAGATGCAGGACGAGAGAGGTTTTTGACACAATGAACGTGAAAAATTCGGCTGACAACACACAAAAGTTGCGTTTTCCTCTCCCTGCAGCATATTATATGATATATGGCAGAGGTTGGATTTCGGTTTAGCTAACATAAAAATTATTCACAGGTGGATTCACCCTCCGAATGCATATAAATAATGTACACAAGAATGCACCCCTTGATAAAAAGAAGAAGTAGTGGGCTTTGTGTCGCCAGGGTGTTGTAATTTTCACAGTTGAGAAAGTGAGAACGGTTTTGTTGCCGTGTGGAATTTGAAATAAATCAGTCCTCTCAAGTATAAATTTTTTATTTTATAAATAAATTTATAATAGCTTTTGGCCTTTCTTGGAGCAAAATAGAGTTCCAATTAGTATAATTTGCATTAATTTTACATTCACAAATTATATCCTTGTTCTTCTTTGACAAGTCGCAAATAATAAATAATGACTCTGCGATTTATTCCGAATTTCGAAGCTCGATAAATTTTCGTTGTAGGTCTGCGCGCTCAAATTATTCTCGCCTTCTAATGCATATTCAATGGCGGTCGTTTTGTATTCAACCAATTTGCATGCGTCAGGCTTTCGTCAGAATAAAAAATTAGATGGAGGGATTGTTTGGGTTCGGCGCATAAATTTCGTTTACAAGAAGTCGCGGGGTAGCACGAGAAAGAGAAATAAAGACACCTCGTCGTTGCAAGAGTCCTTGGGACTGAAATATAACTACACCGTTGGTTGCCTGAATAAATTCAACATTACCGGTCTCGTGAGTTGGTCCGTGTTTAAATCAATATTGATTTAGTGTATGTGCAGCGCGCCATGCTATAATAGCGACTGGAAAAGAGTTTCGAGCGGGAAGACCCTCGGACTGGCGACCCCTCTCAACTTACAAAAAAAAAACAATGAGCAAAAAATATAAATTATTTGAATTTTAAATTTTAAATTTAAAACTTCAATCTAACTAAAATATAAATATTATTAACAATTTTGACTGTAGATTTGAATGCTATAAATGATTATACCAATTACCTTCCTAAAATAATATAATTAAATCGAATGAATTAATTTTGAACTTAACGGATTTATTTATTTTTCAAATTTTTTTAATTATTTAGATTCTTTTGAAAATATACAACTTTGACAAATATAAAGTGGATATTTCCATTATACAATAAAATTCAGGTGATCGGTCATCCGTCCGAACGATTTTGGTTGAGCTGATGAACCTTTCCCGTTCAGCTGTCATGCAGTTTGATGCATTTTACGCCTGTGCGAATGCAGTCCAGTGTGACCCCCTCGGAAATTGAAACAAACTAACCGAGAGAATCGTATTTTTGTGTATTTTTGGCCGCGTGCACACAACTGTTTCTCGTTATTAGTTCCGAAAGAGTTGTCGTCAGCCCTCAACTCAGCATTCCGACCACAAAAAATGCGGTTTTGAGCGCCAGGTGGAGAAAACACACCAAAAGTTTTAAAACAAAATCCGGGTGTTTATTTTTTTTTTTCAAAGAAAACGCTATAGGATCGAAATAGTTTTAAGGACTTCCTTCGGAAATAACTTGACTTCATTTTAATAATAAGCTCCGTGTGTTTTTCCGTTTGTCGATGTTATGATCTCTCCCTCCAGCGAAATAATGACTCTTATCTAATGAACCGGGCGTGCTAGGTGCGCGGCGTGTTCCTCGCCCAAAACCAAATGAAGCCTCACGTATATTATCAAGGGAATATAAAAGAGCATACGGCACATTATTCAGAATGAACTTTTCTGGCCTACTCGCACGCGGTAATAATGCATTGGATGTGGGACAACGCCTTGTGTTGTTTGTGTGTCATCTCATTATTGGGCTGACTAACAATGAGCCTCGCTCTTGGTGCCAAATGTGAAATTTCCTTGGCACGACGGACGAGATCATGCAAGACGCGCATTCTTCTATAATAATGTGCAGCTCATTCACACCTTACACGTATTGTGATTCAGAAAAAAGAAAATTAGTTAGGTTTTTCCTTGCGGGGAAACTATTTCTTTCTTTCTTTCCGTGACTGCACTTGGGCTGATTCACCGATTCTTCTAACAGTCACCGCCATGCATTTTGTCCTGAGCTGTTACTTTGCCAGGATAATAAGTCACTTCTCGCCACTTTAAAGGTTTCCTCATCCCTATATTATACTGTTAGAACAAACCACGAAAATAAATAAGCCTTTAAGGTATAAATTTGTGTTGTTTTAACTGGCACAAAGATGAAATTAAATAATCCGGGAAAACATTCGTCTCATTTGCAATTGAGATTCAATTACTAATTTCAGCTAAGTTCGCTAATTCCCATATTATAGAACGGAGAACCGGCCGCAGCTCATGATAATAGAGCTCTTTATTGTGGGAAAGCACTTACGGAGAAGCCTCAGACGAAAACGGTTTCCACATTTATCCCCGATATATTTATTTATTTATTCAAATCGAACTGCTCCCAGCCAATCCACTTATATCCAAATGATATAATAACGATAATGGTTTGGCATTAGTCCGTCCGCGGCCGCGCTTTGGATGGTGCATTCTTCCGTAATTGGTGAGACAATGAATGCAGTCAAATTTTACGATTTGACCAAAATTTCGATCGTAAAACAAACGGAACTCTATTGGAAATGTATTGGGAAAAATTTGCTCCAGGCAAGAAGACAGCAGATTACTTCAGAATTCAAAACGAAACGATATAGATGGTTAATTTAATTTAACGTTAACTTACAAATTAGTTCACACAAAAATCACTAAAACATTTTAAAACCAAAAAAAATATATCTTAAAGCTTCTTTGTTTTATTTTGATTAATAATTTGCATGATGAATTTGGCTTAATAAATATTAAAATAACGTAATACTGTTGTAGAAAACAAATTTTAAAATATAAAATGAATTTTTTTTTAACTTTGAATTTAATAATTATACAATTTTAAATTTAAAATTTTAACCGGAGATTTCAATGCATGAATTTTTAAAGAAACCTACCTTTAAATTAGTGATGATCTGGTCACATTCATCGTAGGGCACGGTGTCTGCGATGGCGAGCACCAGACCCTCGTATCCACTGTTTCTAAGGGTGACCCCCGAGCGGGCGTGCGCCCCGTGCACCAGCAGCAGGGCCGCAACCCCCAACACAAACCGCCACACCATTATTGCAAGTCTTCTTGTCAAAAGTCCATCAACGAAGAGAAATGAAAAAGAGTCACTGTTCGTTCAAGTGTCGAGCCAACCACTGCCGCGACGACTTGAGGACACTGCACGGAGAAACGACCTGAGCGCACCAGGGTCGCGCCTCGACTGCCTGCCTGGCTCGTCCCGCAACCGGCACGGCCGCCGCTCAGCGCATATCGCACCGCGAGAGCGGACGCAGGCGCGGTGCGAAGCCGCCGCTCCAGCAAGCGACGAGAATCGGGACCGTCTAAAGTGCGCAGAACAGCCGGGCCTTAATGATAGCCTTAATAATTTTTTTTTCTTTTCAAATCTTAATTTGTGCAAAAATGTTGACTTTTCTATTCAATACTTACTTTAAATTTAAATAATTTTAGTGAACATTAATTTATTAATAATTGAACATACAATAGGAATTGTGGAAATGAAACCGAGCAAACATTGTTGCAAAGAAAAATAAAAAGAACGTTGGTTTAATTACCCTTTAAATTTCTGTCAAATTTACTTCTGAAGCTATTGGCAGGCTCAATTGCTTTATCAATTTCTGCAATTTTTTTTTATTTAAAATTAGATCAATTAAAAAATCTCAATTTTTTTTTAAATTTCTCTTGTAAATTCCTTCCAATTAGTTATTTGGACTGATTTGGACGCGACAAAACCCAAGGTTCAAAGTACCAGCAGTCAGCAGGTCGCCTTTGGGACAGTTATCATTTTTTCTTTGCATCGAGGTTCACCCCAGGTTCAGCGGGTTTCAATTTTTATAAAATCCATCTGGAGTTTTATTGCAAATTACAATAACCTGGAATTAATGTTTTTTTTTACTCAATATTGTCCAGTATTGGCGGAGGTAACCGCCAGCCAAGCACTTTGCTTTTAACTTCTTGCATTCGGCTGCACCGACGAGACCCAAGAAGCAAGATATTTGTGCGATCTTTTGATTTCGCGCCAAATTTAAGAGGGCGTTGGTGGTCATATCGTCAGTCGTCAGCCACATGTATTTATTTTGTTGTTGTATGTGAATTGTGAACACAAGAAGTTTGAACGATTGTTTTGTTCTGTTCGGACAAGTTTTCCAGTGGGAAATCGTGTTTGTGTGAGGAACTGACATAAGATAATATTCGTATGCAGCTTAAGTGCGTCGAAAATCTGGAATCCGATCCAGCTTTTCATAAAAAAGTGAGAAGTTGGAGAAAGACGGGATGGACAAAGGACACCAGAAGAATCATGGAGAGATCAGGTCAGGAGAGATCTTCTAACGCGAGAGAAAAGAGGGATTCGGCAGGGACTTCATGAGAGGACTCAAAGTAAGGTAGGAAACAAGTTACAAAATATAAACTGTTATCCCAAGAGAAAATAACAGTCGTAATAAAGAAGCAAAAATGCCACATTTTCTAACAAGATTCCGATCTTATCTACCATTTTAAAATTTTTAAAGTGAAGTTTTATGTAATTATGGTGGAGAAGTTCGTGATTTTTTTATTATTAATATTTAATAACAAGAAAAGCTCTTTTAGCTCTTAATCAAAAGTTTTTAACCTGGAAAGAATAATTATGTATTAAAAAAACTGCTTATTTTCATAAATCTTAATTTTGATAAAAATTTCCAAGTGAATCTTATTGTGAAATCTTTTTATCAGCAAAGTATATCTTAAACATGAGCTCACAAATTTTAAAATTGAAATTCGACCTAAGACCCGAATTCAGATGGTCTTGGCAGCTGCAAGCGAGTCACGTGACAACGACAGGTAATTTAATTTCTCGGCTTTTTGTGTGCGATGGGCACTTTTTTCTCGCGCCGCGAGCTGCGCTTTATGGAGCAGGATAATTCATCTCGACGCCAAGAAAAAGTTAATTGGATGCCGAGTAAAAATGTAAATAAATCGTTAAATTTTCTCTCCTCTTCGCACAACCGAGCTAAAATTTGCATAATTTGCGTCCGTTGCGAAAAATAATATAAAATTTACTGCCGAACAAGAATCGTTTCTTGGAAAGATCGTTTCTCGCCAATTCGAAACTGTCAAACGAAAAAAAGTATGGCACACGCAAGCGACTAATTGCTTCTTAATTGCCAAGCGAATCCCACATGCAATAAAAGAAGAGAGATATTAGAGACAAAGGATGAATTAAATCATTATATCGCCGGCAAGAGAGAGCTTTGCAAGAGAGAAATGCAGAGACGTGCCCCAAATAATTAAAGAAAAGTTTTTATTTTTAATTCTCGAGTGTGACTCATCGTCTCTCGGCGAGTTAACAAACAACGGCGCCGTTTGTCACCTGGAAAATAATGTTTCACTTTGTTTTTTGCTCTGAGCTTTCAAAACTCGCTCTATGAAATGAAAGAAAGTATAACAAAGCGGATCCATTGCTCTGAGTTTGCTTTTTCCCATTTGCTCTCCTGAGCTGTTAATTAGGCGCGAGATTTTTGACATGCCGACGTTTTCAACAGTTAAAAATGTTCAAATTTAAACATTGCTGTTGTCAAGCGTTGTTTTACTGCATGAAATTACTTTGAATATTTACAAATTTTTGCTAACTGTTGTAGGTTTTAAATTTAATTTTGTTGTGCATCTTAAAAAATTTTAATTATATTTATAATTAATTGTATGTATTTTTTAAGCGTGTAAGTTTTATAACATGAATAAAAATAGTTTAATTTGCAAATCACACCTTTAATTAACTTTTAGTGAATACATAAAAAATTATGATTTTTTAACTTTATTATATTATATGTATTTAATTCACTTAATAATATCAGAATAATTCCGTAATATTATAATCTTGATTTTCCCCACCAAATTTAATATTTCCAAGTGCAATATTTATGATGATTGCAATTCACAAAAATCAATTTAATTATTAATTATGTAAATATTACCGAAAATTTGAAAGGTAAAGAAAATATAATATTCAGCTAAAATTATATTTCTATTACACTTACGTTTGAAGACATAATTCAATATAATATAAATATATAATGAAATGCAATCGGTTTATTCCAAGCCACACCATAAGCAATTCAAATCAACCTTGGATGAGCCAGACGTGCAGCCCAATTTGAAAACGCGCGTCAACACAAGCATGCATGAGAAAAGCATCCCCCGCTGGGCGTTATCTCGTAACATCCGCGCCTCATTTGAATAAAATGCTCGTCCGTGTACTCACGTGTGCGCAACGATTCGCGGCCACACTAACACAAAAATCTTGATAAATTTTTACTTACATCTTAAAAGTAATAATTAAAATGCAGAATTTGAAAATAAAAGGGTTTTCAACTGTTGATTCAACAGTGGGAGATAATTTTAATTTATTTGATTTCGAAATGATATTTTCTTTAAATTAATTTAAAAAAAGGATAAATATTCCTTGCTTGAATATTTTTCCAATTTTCCCCTGGCGTCAAAAGCGCGGGACGTTGTTTTTGTATTTACACCTGCTCGAAGGTCAGAGAGTTTTAGTTCGTCAGGTTTATTATGCTATTCAGGGTGTGGGAGAAACGTAAAGGTGAGATCGCCGCGGGTACCTGCTGGGCAGGCCGGTCTGCTCTGGCTGAGCTATTTTCACATGTATTCTTTCTCTCTCTTTGTATTTTCACCTCAGGAGATGTTCGCTGGTTCGTGCCGTGGCAAACTATGAGGCGATTGCGTGTTGCCCCGCTCAGGCCGTAACGACTGCCTTTTTTATGTACATATACGTTTGGGGCCGAAAACGCCGAAAAACGGAGAATGATGAGCGACCCGTGTCAATTACAGAAATATGTTAATATCGGTCGGGCAGACCTAGATCAGGGCGGCCGGGCCATGGGAATCAAAACGAGAGCTTTGCCCCTGTGTGAAAATCTCTGCGTGATATGAAATGACCAGGGTCAAATTAAACATAAGAGGTGCACAATAATCGTAGGAAAATTTGATTTGGTTTAATATAATTTACATTTATTAGTTCAAAAACTCGTAGAACAAGATTTTCACTTAAATTCCTTCTAAAATTATCTGACTACTGCATGATAATTATATTTATTCAAGGTTAATTTAAAATTCAGAAATTTTAATTTAAAAATTTCACAACTCATTTAATAGAAAAAACTCGCTTATATTGTCTATAAAATTGAAAAAATTATTTATTTAACATTTTTTTTTTCAAAATTCATTTTTGACTTAAAAACCGTATGAATTATTGTTGAGTGATTTTTTGAACAAATTCGTTTTCATTTAAATTTATTTAAAAATTAAACATTGTCAAAACCAGTAACAAAAATTATTACACTCTAAACCTGTATATCAATTTAAATAAACAGTTAATGTTACGAAAAAAAGAAAATATTTGAATGGACAAGTAAAAGTAACTAATGAATGATTTTTGCTATCATTTTGTAACCTCAAAGAATGCATAAATCAATTTATTTTTATATTTTTAGGAAAAGAAGTTAAGTATTGAGGAGCATTTTGCTTAATTGATAGTTGATGCAGTGAGCTAAGAGAACTATAGATGCTTTGCTTTGTTGCTCGCGCGTTTTTATCAATTGTGAGGGAAAATCCGCGTGCAATTGCAATTGTTTGTCAATATAATGTTTTGAAATCCATCTTAGCAAAAAAGTGCATGCATGCCATTTTGAAACAGGGAGTAAAAGCAAATTTTTTTTGCAAAATATGCAAGGTCTTATTATTACCACATTATTCTCTGGTAGATGTTTAATTTTCAGCATTATTATTAATTATTTTTTTCTCCACAAATTTATCCCTCTTTTGGTTAGTTGGACACGAGAAACCATCAGGTTTTAAAGCACTAGCAGACTGCAGGTCGCCTTTTGGAGTAAGTTTAGCATTTTTTTAAACCTATTTTTTTCTTTATACATTGAAGATCCCAGCTAATTTTCTATAAAAAAAATGAAGTAGGTAGAGAAATTACTAAAAGGGGGAAGCTATTAGGAGATAATATTAGATGAATAATGATTGAAAAATAAAAATTTTAACAAGGCGGCATTGGATATTGAGATTTTTTGGTTTTACATTTATTTTTCAATTCCTCCCTTGGGCATAAGCAAGCTTATATTAAGTTTTTTAAAAGCAGGTCGTTGTGTGTGCTAAGTTTTCATTGATTCGCCCGAATTCCATAATGCTTGAAATCAACCATGAGTGTTATATAACTTTCAATACAATC